TGCAAAATACATTTCAAAATGAATAGAAAGGGAAAAACAAAAATCAGTCCTCAGAGTCTGAGGAAGAGCTTCCCAGACCCTACCTACGACAAAATTGGCAGAAGATGTCACAATCCAGCTCCCCCAGACAAAGTGGCCCACAAAATCCATCTCAGTAAGGGAACACAGAGCAATATCAACCTCTTCAGTTCATCTCGCAAAACAACCTAGAGTAAGAGGCCTTACATCAACCAAAATGGGAAAATTTTGACAGAATTACAACCTAACAAGACCTAACAGGCCTATGATTTACAAAGATAGGGAATTAGACCAAAGTTTTACATAACTAGGTTATATCCAAAAAGAGAAGTTGATAAGGATCTATCAGCGACGAGAACTGTCAGAGTGAGTCCTTGATCCCGACAGAAGATGTTCTATGTCCCTCATACGCCTATCAGCCCTTGCTTGCTGAGCTCGAAGTTCTCTGACTTCAGCTCGCGTTTCAGTGAGTTCCCTCTGAAGAGCTGCATTGTGGACCAGAGTCCTTTCATGAACAAACTCTACCTGGCGAATGCGGACAGTGTTAACACTAGTGTTGGCATTAATCTCCAAGACTCGATTGATAGATGATTGACCCAGTATTGTGTTCCGAGAAATCCTACGAACCATGATGGGTAGGACTCTGTCAGCAGAACCTACATTAGTGAGGTTGTAAAAACTTCTGTCTCCATTGTAGGGAATGGGTTGACCCTGTTCATGGCTCCATGTATTCAAGTTTGTTGCCCACAGAGGTGTGGGTCCTTGAAATGCGGGTCGGGGGTTGTTATTCGTGGCTTGACCTACTTAAGGTAGGTTATTGACATCGGGCTCGGAGTCAGATCCATCCGAGAAGCCTTCTGCTTGATGATCATCCAAAGGGATTTGATGCTCATCATCGGACTCTGCCTCAAGCCATCCAGCATTTCCGTTGGGTGGAAAGTATGGGTCTCCGGGAATGTGGAATCCAACCATTAAATCTACGCGAGAAGGGAGGTATAAGAATCTAGCACATAAGTAACTTATAGTAGTTGTAAAATACTCCTACAGTATTTTAAGTTTAATGTTATGTTCTAGTGTTCTCATTATGGTATTGTTGGTAAGATTTTAGACTTGTTGCAACCACACAACTACACTTAGGCACTGCTATTCAACCCTCGGATAAACAATGCTCTGATACCAATCTGTCACACCCCAAAACCATGAATGGCGGAAACATTCTGGTGCGGAGGATGTCATGTATAGTATCATAACAATGAATAGTAGTAAACAACCAACAACATCATCCATTGCATTAATAATATAATTTCATACATGTGTGTTCTGTCAAAGTTATAGACACCAAAAATACACATATCAAAATAAAAGATAAGTCCTGAACAAACTCCATATTCTCAAAAGCCTAGCACATGTACCTGTCTAGTGGTGACTTGAGAATATAAGTTATTTTGTAAGCGAGTATCAGCTTAATGCTGGTGAGATCATAAGTATATTAATGTCTGAGTTTGTATGAAAACGTTTGAAAGATGTTTCTATAAGATGTTTTGTATAATGTTTGAACTCTCCTAGAAAACCCTATGTTTCCTACTAAATGTATCCTTCTACCAAGGGATATCGTGTCCATGTGTATGTCTCTTGTTAGAGTGTGTGTTTCCCAATTCTGACTATCATTAACCAAAAATATAGTTACTACATTACCGTGCATCGTGTGAATATTCACGAAGTGAATGTAATGGGAAAATATTATCGTACTCTAGTATTTGTAACAAGTGACTACCATGGTACTAACTACCTTAACACAAAAGGTGTTCCAAGTAACATGTGATTGACATGTATCCTGCTACCGACTCTAGTAAAACAACGATGTAAGACGCCGTAAGAAATGACATTGGGCACCCGTAGACTTGCAAGTCCCACTGTAGCGAGCAGCAAGGTGTAGGATAGTCAATCCAGTATAGATCTATAGGCAAACTCATACGCTCTCCAATTAAGGAGATTCGGGATACAAGAGCAGTCGTGGCAGGAAGTGTCATGGCCCGCTCAATGGTTCACATAACTGCATGAATGTATATGTAATGAATGTGCTAATTGAAAGTGTAATCTTTCTCTATCTAGCCTGTATATACTGAAATGTTATGCGTGTGCTAGCTGTAATGTATGTTCTCTCTATCTAGCATGTATAGTAATGTACTGTGTGTACTAGTTGTAATGTATGCTATGTTTTTATCTAGCATGTATAGTAATGTACTGTGAGTACTACTCGAAACGACTCATGAGTGAACTGACTCCTTGTATGTTTCATTGTTCTAGTAATAGTATTAGTGTCCTCCTGTGCTACCCCTATGGTAACTTACTAGTGATGTAACTGGTACGTATGAACATGGAAGTATACCCTTGCTACCCAAGGGTACCGAATGAAATGGAATTACCTTATGACTATATATGTACACATGATATATAACTAATATTTAAATGACCTTCAGACGGATACCCAATATCCCACCAGACCACATCTCAAGCGCGAAAAGGAAATAGGGCGGGCAGGCCTTCCTAAGCCTTTTAAACATTGCTTATATAACTATACATACATAGACATGCAATTGATAATAAGTATAAAAGAGTTTAAGTACAAGTATTTGATAAGTAAAAGAGTTTGTAAAATAGTTTGAAACAATATAGTTTGATAAAGAGTTTGAACAGTAAGAAATCACTGGTTTTGTAGTTATTAATCACATGTGATTGATGTAATAACTATAATTATTTAACTTGTATCCCCCCCCCCCCCCCCGCGCCCATAAAGCATTTAAAAACATTTAAATCATTGGTTAAGGGGTATGAACTCACTTGTAGTGAGTGGTACGGATGAACTGAAGATGTAGGATCGCTAGGTGACAAGTGAAGTCTTGAACACACTTTATAATCCTAGTTAACATATAATACCACATATATGGATCCAATTAGTCTTAAACTACTAATTGATAATTTTAAGACATCCTAGAACATAATAAACACTTTATATAAGTGTTATAAGCCCTAAGGATTGCATCTAAGTTGTTGTGGGACAAAGCTAGTGAGTTTAGGGTTCCAAGGGACCACATACATGAGTTTACTCTCCAATAAACCCCACACAAGGAGTTTACGGTTGTAAACCCTTGAGTTTACGGTCGTGAACTCCTAATTTTAATGTCATTTGGTGTTTTGAAGTTCTAAATGATCCCTAGAAGCATTCCCACTTGGTGGATTAATTATTGTAAGGGTTTAGGGCACTTATACACTCCTTTGAGGAGTTTACGGCCCCAAGGCCAATTCCTTTTGAGTTTACTGCCATAAACTCATATGAAGAGGGGTGTTTTTATGCTTTCAAGTCCCATGCTCATGTAGGATAGGTTCTAGACATTTATCTAAGGCAAATGAAGGCCTTAGGCACACTTTGGTACCCTTCATTGATGTTCACGGCCCAAAGACCATTTCCCTTAGAGATTACGGCTGTAATCTCTCATGGGGATGGGCATTTGATGATTTAAAGTCCTTAAATTCACTAGAAGTAAATCAAGGCTATTGTCCAAGGCTTTAGGAGTGATTAAGGCACTCTTTGGCATTTGAGTTTGGAGTTCACGGTCCAAGAACTTGTTGGTTCGTGAACACCTAAATCTTGGTGTTCTTGGATGATTTCTAGTCTTAAAAACACTAGCATACAAGCCTAAGGTGGTTACATTGTTGGGTTTTGAGCAATCTAACACTTCCTAAATGTGCATGCAACCCTAATAAACCTTGGATCTATGTTTGTCTAAATACATGCAAAATAATAATTTTCCAAGGTTTATAACCTATCTAACATGGCATGGGGAACATTTCAACATAAAAGAGTTAGAAGAGATTACATACCTTTTGGTGAGTTTGGTTCTAAGGAGTTTGAGGGCCAAGCACCAATAGTGTGAATGCCTCAAATGGAATCACAAACACCACAAACTCTTGGAAAACTTTGAGAGAGTATACACCTTGTATAAAATCGGCCACACACATGCACACACACACTAGTTCACTAGTTTTTTCTTTTAGGCTCCATTTCATGCTCCATAAGCATGCTTATATAGTGTGCATGGTTAGGGTGAAACCCTAATAACCCATGTCTTTTCCTTTTCCAAGGATCCATGGGTTAAAAGCTCCATGGATCATCCATGGACTTCCACATAAGCCTAGCCCATTAACAAATGAGTATTAGCCCACACTATATAAAACAAATAGCCCATAATTTAATTAGTATTCCTTTTAATCTCTAAATTAATTCATAATTAATTTAAGACTAAAACTAATTAAATAACGTAACTTCATATTAATATATTATAACTCATAATATATTAATAAACATATGTGTATAACTCTCATAAAATTATCCATAATAGTTTGGATGAGATGCAACCCAAATGGACCATGCCGGTCGGGTCAAGTATATACCAAATAAGTTATGGACTTAGACACCTTATCCAACAAACATATCACGGGGAAAGGACTAGGCATCATTTAACACTTATAAAAGAGTTTACTCCCCAAGGTGTTCTTCGGTGGTAAAGTGTCAAATCTTGTGGTTTTGTTATGATTTCTATGTTATTAAGCACTTAATAAGCTATATAATACAACTATAGAAAGGTACTCATGAATTGGGATGAAAACCCGAAGATCCGTGAGAGAGAAATGGGTTTTCTCTAGTTGGAAATGTAACTAATGAAATAATTTGGTTAAGAATCATATATATAGTCCTGGGATTTTTGGCAGAAAATATTTTTATTCAAGAAATGAACTCTAATATCATAGAGTTCTGAAATAACAAAGTTGCACAAAACCCTAGTGCATCCTCTCTCCTGATATCTCTTTAAGTGTAAACCCTTGAATTACTCAAACTTATTCTAAAAAGTCTGAAAACTTACTGCAACTGTTCTGACTTCTATTGAAGTGATATTATTTGTACAGAATAGAATTTCGGGTTGTCACATAACATGATCTTCTAAGGTGGCCTTCTCACAGGCCACGATGTATTTTTTCTCGGACAACACTCGACACTCTGCCTCTGAATCACGGAGTTCCTCCCTTAAGCCTGAAATGACATCGTGCATAGTTTTTAATAGTGATTTATTTTTGACCGATCGGCAAAATTGATCAGCGGAATCAACCATAAGGGCAGAAGCTTGAGCAGCGACATACCGAAGATCACCGACTATATGAGCGTCCGATTGGCCCACAAGAAACTTCATTGTGGCTGGTGGATGAGCACAGCTATTCCACTCTTGGGCGATGATATCTTCCGACAGTATGAAATCCTTAGTAACCACCTATCCTGGAGCAAAAGCCTCAAAAGCCAAGGGATAAAATGCAATACTCATTTCATCAAACTTAGAAGGCTTTTCTGATGGGAAAGAATCTTCTAACGCACCTAGTGCACCCCCAAGCACGGAGTTGGAACCAGGATCAACTGAGAAGGAGCTGGTAAGCGTCGAAGGTGATGCCTTTAAAGAACTAGGCACCACCGCTATCTTTTTCTACCCAAACACAACATGTTTATTGCCAACGAAATCTCAATTACTACCAAGAAGCTAGTGCACAAACACCGTCTTTCACATCTTACGAGGATGAAAGCCCGCATCATGGGATTCAGTATCTTTGTCCGATGATAGGACCACATGAAAACTTCAATTTTTCTAAACAGGGGTAATACATTTCCCCTCTTTCACCCCTATAGCCAAATCAAGAGAAGCGTAATTTGGAAAGCAAACTGCGAAAACAACCCCAACAACCGATTGGGGAGGTGAGGCATGTCCGCTAGAACTAGTATTTCCCCTATTGTCACGAGCTTTCCAAAAATCTCCCTCATATGTTTCTTAGATACGGAAGGGGGAAGAGGCTCCACAAGATCAACCTCCCAGTGGAAAAGCTTACTCCGATAGTGACCGCGCAGGGCCATCTCCAAGGAAATATTGGCTTCAGCACCTGCGGACACAAACACGAAATATGAGAACTTATAATCCAGTAGGATACCGTGTCCTTATTTTTTCAAAAACAAGGAGGACGGAGAAGGAGATGGTTGAATACCGCATCTCATGACAAACAACTGCGCCATCTTCTTACGTGCCCTCCAGGCGACACTCATACCGGCCGTAACAAGAATAAAATATTCCTAGTTCTCCCTAATGACAGTAATGCTTCCCAGCCGCTTGCCAAGACTTAAGTTATCCCCAAAAAACTTCAGAAGATGATCGGGAAAGTCCCATGTCTTACGAAACCCATGCCCCAGAAGGTTTCGTTTAACTTAGAGCCATTTCCTCTGCCAATTTTTCTTTGGAGTATCTTGTTCAGCGATCAACTGATGAATGCCCCATGTTTTCACTAGCGTGCGAATGCCGGAGTTCATAGATGAACAGAAAGAGTAACTAAAAACCCAAAAAGTAGGTATGCAACCTAGAGATCAACAGATCAGTTCAAACCCTATGGTCTTGTTGACAACACTTGGAGTTAACTCGTCAATGGAAAATCTGTAGTGATGCACAAACATATCGAAAAACTCGGATGTCGACAGGCGTAACCTCGCTTCGAATAGAGGAATAGGAACCCCCATTTTCACTAGAGGACATTCATAGGTTGATGACCTCTTTGCCGGAATCATCACACCATGCTCCGGTAAAAAACCGAATCAGTCTTGCAGAATTTAGAATTCCTCTATGGTAGGGACTCTTCCATAACGATCCATCATCAAGAATGGATGAATGGTAAAAAAGAAAAAAAAAATCGTAAAATGCCTAAGTCGATACAACAAAAGAAAGGAAAGGAGGTAAAGATGAAAGGTCTTGGGAAAAAGGGGATTTTAAAGGCAAAAATAGTGTCACAAACCATCTCTTGATGGATCCGACACACATTGACAGCGCTGCCTAAAGTCTGTCAAATGCTAGAGATAATCTCAAACATACACGTGTTGAAATATTGGCTTGAACGACAACGCTACCAAGCCAACGTGTACGACTACAAGCCTAAGGGACTTGTTAATGTATCCCTCAAGGAGAACGTCAAAAAAGAGGATTCAAACTAATGCCAAGCTTGGACTAGGTTGAACCTGGTCATATTCTGTCTGAGGCCAAGTTCAGGCCTTCGCCAATGCGGAGTCACTGGTATGGCGGTTAAGGGATAAAACTGCGCATTTCCCTCTTCTCCTAGGAATAACACCTTAACAAACATGGGATCAATCATATCTTTCCACTTGTCCATTTGACAATGGCCACAATGATCATAATATCAAAGATTGCCCTCTAGCCGACGAGGGTCGAGGCAAAAAGGAGTGATGGAAGATCCTTTAATATGGATCCGCCATGTCGCACCTGATGAGAGAATGCTCAACGCTATTAGTTATGAGGCACACGCCTCACAACCAGGTGTAAAAGGACCCCTCTTCTTCATCAGGAGGGGGACTGACTTCTTTTTCCTCAGATTTACCCTTACTTTTCTTAGAATCCATTCTAACTTGATCGTCGGAGCTTCGTCCCAGGGATCCCACCCGGACATCGACTAACGATCATCTTTTTCTTTTTTACTCTGATATAAGGAGAAGGAACAACGTAAATTCTCACCCTCGACTACAATTAAACCCTCTTCGACATATCACAACACTTAGTTAAACACAAGTGTTACTAATATGACACAAATGAACCTTTGATATGGGCATCTTTAGTTATAAAATTCATGCATTATCTTAATACTTTACGTTGATTTTATCTCATTTAATGAAAAAAAAGGTGCTTAATTAGTTTAGAATTTCATTTTTCAGCAAAAATGACATGCTCGGATGGAAAAGGAAGCGGATTTGGCAATTGGAAGCTTGGATCTTGGATTTTGAAGAAAGAAGGATGTTGTTGGACAGCTTGACCCCTCGTCAGTGTTTTAGCCATATCTCATGAACCGTAACTCTGATTGACAATATTCAAAATGTTTTGAAAACTAGACACAATTTTGAATGACTTTCGTGTTTTGAGAAAATTTTGATTCCAAACGAACTCGAGGAGTTGGCCATTAAATCGACAAGTTGATCAGAAGTTTCATGATTCTTGACGCTGACTTGACGTACACACGATTTAAATGTAAAACTCGATGTTTTTTCTCAAAACTCATCGAGTTGGCTATGTTTTCAGAATTTATTTATAGAAAAGCTTTCATTCTAAACCCTAACTAATTTTGGAAGCTTTGGACGATTTTTGGAGGCCAAAATGATTCTTAGAGCTGTGGTTTTCGAGAATTCAACCTAGAAGTCAATTTTAAATAGATCAAAGGCAAATAAACATTAGTTTTGTGTGAACCATGTTTGCATCACTAAATTTCAATTTTAGGATGCTATTTACTGTAGTTACGAACTAAAAGCTTCATACATCTTTTTAGACTAGATGATCTTACGAATATGGTTTGATTGAGTGGCTTGGATTGATTTGATTTGGTTTTTTATCTTGTTAAGCTTGTTAAAGACCCTTATGTGTTAATGATAATTATTTTATGTTAATAATCAAGTTTATTGAGTTGTATGAACATCTTCTTAATTCCTTGAATCATACAGTTTTGTGAAAACAAGATTGTATGCCAAGTATTAGTGAACATGAACCTGTGGTTAATTAGAAAATTAGTAAGTTGATGTGTAAGCATGTGTGATGAACATCCACATATGAGTTGATTGAATTGACAAATTTAGTTAACTAATATTACAAGTCTTACTTGATTCGAACTGAACACTAGGAAACTTGTTAGTTTAATCACTTGATCACTGTTTGAATTAACTTGTTTGATAAAGGATTAGTAATAGTGAACATGAACTTAATCACATTAGAAATAGGTACCCATTAATATATTAATCCATTGCACTTTCCACGAAATCAACCATATGAATAAGTGAATCGAATCTAAATGGAAGTCTCTTTATCTTATTGAATTTAGTTGTCTTTTGTTTCTCCTTAGTTGTTATATGTCTTTTATTTAAGTGTTTAGTAATTGCTTAAGTTTCTAGTCTTGCAAAACTAGAAAAAAAAAACGCTTTTTATTACTTGTTTTATTTAGATAATATTAGATTTAATCTTAATTGTTTACCGTTCCCTGTGTTCGATACCCTACTTGCCTAAATTAAACTGTTAATCGATAGGTACACTGCCTTTCACGTGTTTGTTTTTGTGTCTAAGTTAATAGGATTAAAACTAGTGCATTTTACACACATCAACCTTCTAACCAAAATATCATTCGTTCGATACTAAAATTAATTGTCCACTAGAACACAATCTATTATTATTATTATTATTATTATTATTATTATTATTATTATAAATAATTTGATTAAATTTTTAATTATTGTATTATTTATTTATTTATTTTTAATTTTATTAGCTCAAAATTTTAGTTTACTAAAGTCAAAAACTTCTAGGCCCAAAAACAAGATGTTAGAGTACAAGCCAAGATAAATAAAGGTATTACCTTATGTTTGTCATAAGTGATACACATAACCATGCCATCTTCCATTTCAAGATCATCATGTACTAAGTCCAAGAACCAATTCCAATTTGTCATGTTCTCAACGTAAACGATAGCCTATGCAATGTGATACACTTGATTATTTGCACCGATTCCTGTAGAAACTAACATTTCACCCATATATTGTCCATTCAAAAAGGAACCATCAATACAAATCACTCTACGACAACCACGTTTCCATCCATTTAAAATATCTTTAAAAAACATATTCTTGGTTTCGCATTAACAACTTTAATTGTATTACCTTGATTTGACCTCATCAACTCTTTCATAAATTACCGATCTATCCATGGTGGATCTAAAAGCCTTGCACTACCGAAAATCATAACACACTAATAGTAATAAACTTTTTATTATTATTATTTTGAAGTGACCTTTCATTTTTCATCCTGAAAGCCCTAACCGTTAATGAACATTGGATTTTTTTTTTTCTTGAAAACTTACACACACAACTACAAGTCTAACATTGTCACATTTTTTGACGCTAATCTGATAACAATGCCTTATGGAGTGATTGGTTAAATGGAGCCTAAGTTGGTGATTCAAACCTCTCTCCAAAAAATGGCCTTATTTTGTTCCACTTCACCTCTAAATCAAGTGTACAATACTGGAATTCAACTATTTTTTCATCCTCCTTTTTACTTCTTCATTTGACTTGTCATCTTCCGAATTGAAATCCAACTCCTCTACATCGATTTCATCAAGGTCTACCACAGGGATGGTACAGTCTTTAAGCACTTCTTCACACAGTGTGTTCAAGATCTCATCTTTGCATATACTTTTTTGTTTCTTTTTTTTAGTAGCTCATCAAGTTCGACGTATATAATGTAAAATTGTAAGATAATGGATGATTACGTGGAGTTCTTTGCAATTTCTTACCAGCATAAGTTGATTTTTTTTACCTTTGGAGCGATTTCAAAGATAATTTCACATTGGTTAGGATCAGGCAAATGAGAGTGAGTGATTGAGTTTTTTTACGGATGGTCTTTATGATTGGGGTTGATTAAAAAGTATTCTGAACAATCATGTCATTCATTGAGGCCACCTCAACAGTTTGACCGACTAAGTAGTGACGTACTTGGAAGAAAGGGTTGATTAGAATACAATAGTCAATATGTACGTTTTTTTGTAAATAAAAATTATTTTGAGATTAAACCCTAAACTATCCTAAAATATTGAGATATTATCGGAGTTTTCCTTTTAAAATATATAAACTATGAAATATATATTACGTACATTTAAAAAAAACATAAAAGGATATTATATAATAGTTATAATTTTATATTTTATATCTAAAAAATTTCAGTACTTTTTTTAACAACTAACACACACAACCACTATCCTACATGTAAATTTATATATTTGGTCTCTAACAACACTTGAATCATCAAATTTTTTCAAAGGAACAATTTCTTGATCCTGTAAACTATAATCCATTTGGTAAAAAAAATTATCAGTACTTAATAAAATAAATGATTTACTAAAAAAATTTAGATTTAAGATTTAAATAGTATTAAAGCAATAATATCAAAAATATTTAAATGAAAATAGATTATAAACCATAATGGTTTTCAGTTTTTCTTTAAAATAGTCATTACG